TAAACATATCTGCTTGTCAAATTCTGAACCTTCAAACTGATAATATAGAAAGTGTAAGAATCTATATTAACTTATATAGAATCAACTGCACTAGGAAACATAACAAAAGTTTATAAAGGAGAATACTTTGGAAAAGAACAGACCCAGTAGAATATCCAAAAAGTACAAAATCTGTATCTAATTTCATGCAAAGTCAGATACGCATTCAGCCAAATGATCACCTCTTTGAGATGTAAATCCTACATTTGTTATTTTCACTTCTGTTTTATCATGTTATTAGATGTTAACAGTTGAAATAAAAAGATCCATTAACATATTACATTGTTATTGCAATAGAAAAACTGGTTTTAGTCTTACTAAGACTTTGAATATAATATTTAATGTTTCAATTTTAAGTTAGTCATCCTAGAAATATATAGCTCTAAAATACCATCATCAGGTTTGTTGACAAACAGAATGCCAGATATTAAGGTAAGGACAAAAATCCATTGTGAGTGTCCCTGCCAGCTCATGTGTGCATGTCATGCTAGTCTTTAATTATATGCTGTCTCTGCTGAAGGACCTCTGTTTTATGTAAGGACACTTTCAAATAACTGCCTTAAAATGGCAGATTTTAAAAAGCACACCATTGCCTCAGACCTTCAAATTCTTTGATAAATCACAAATCTGAATTCTTTGGCCATTTGTAGATTTCTGTAAAATTAATCCACTAATAAATTTTAAGTAAATTTGGGATAACAATCTGGCTTAGACTACAACAGTAGTCATATAGACAATAGCTCTGTGGATACTGATGACTATGGCAAGTTCAGGTCTGTACTATTTTCTGGAACTGTTATCCCTGATATAAATGAATGAAGCCAATCTTTATAAAAAGCATACAATTTTATTTGGGTTCAATCAATTTAGGGTGAGAAGCAATAGGCAAAGCAGCGCTGGCTGCGCGGAGAGCTGAAACTCTGCCACACGCACACACGAGTTCTAAAAGCAGTGCCTTTTATACTCTTTCACCAGCGTCTCGACCAATCCCTTTCCATCAGATAGTCGTCCTGCTCTTCTTCCATTGGGTCATTTGAACTGTTGGAGTAGTGTCCTCCTCTCATTGGATCTTTTGAAGGTTTGAAGGTTTCCACCTCTTGGTGCACTTTCCTCCTATTGGATCTTTTAAAAGTCCCGGGGTCTCATCTTTCAGAGGGCTTTTTCTAAGCAGCTATTGCATCAGCTCTAGTGGAGGGTTTTCTAAGGAGTGTTTACATTTGCTCTAGGGAGTGTTTCTAAGAGGTGGTTACATTGTTCCAAGCAAAAAGCACACTCTGTATTCCTACACATTCTCGACTGGATTCCAATATTAACCACAATTATTATATAGGTTATAGTGATCACAAATCATTTCAGATCCACACACAGTACAACAATCACACTTATCACACCATACTCTATCTTGACACGAATCATGCCTATGTTTTCCACATCCCTCCAGTATAATAGAAGGTACAGCTGCTTATCAGTAATATTAACTCCCTTGCCCTCACACTACAATTCCTTTCACATTTGCATACTCCTAAAACAGTAGTGCTCTGACGTATAGGGTAACAATGTTTTCGATAAAGTTACCAAACTGTATCTAAAGAGCAGTCCTAGAAGTTCTCTGCTAAGAACTCTGTTAAGCAGAATGAACTTGACATCCACAATTATTTTGAAAATGCCTTTTCTTCTCCTCTGAAATTTAAGATTTAATATCTGCTACAGTAAAGAAAAATATTTTGTCTTCAGCTTCTGGGTCAAAAGTCTCCGAGAGTAATTGCACAAAGCTTGAAAAAATCATCAGAATGCTTCCAGTTTATTATAATAAGTGTCCTCATTTTCTTTCTTTTCATTGTTTTATGATCTGCATTAGTCCAAATTCAGTGTTAGAAAGCTAGAATAATATGTTCTTTGTCAGATTAAATTAATAGTACTTTTATTATAATAGGTACTTCCTTTTTTATTTCATTTAATTTAGATTTTATTTAAATGGAAAAAAAAAAAAACAAAACCTAACAAACAGCTATTCTTTGTACCATATGAGTGAAAAGAGACATCATCTAATTTTATAGAAGGGTCTTTCACACTTAGAGCAGTACACTGCTATTAATAAGCAAAAAAAAAAAAAATATATCTTTAACTCTTTCTGAAAGTCATAAACTAGCAAGAATTGCTTTAGCAACTATTGTCAACTTAAAAAAGAAAGTGAGAAAGTTCCACTGGGGTCCATTCAGATTTATACTATAGTATCCCTATAGTTCTCACATTAGCAAAGGACTAGAGCAAACCTTTACTGAAACAGGTCACTTTGTTTACATATGGTTTTCTGTCTGAAGGTGATGGGAGAATAACATAAATTTCATGAGATAACTTAAAATGTATTAAAATAAAACAAAACAACACATTTTACTTGATTCAGATACATTACTGGATATTATTAGCAACACTTGGTTAATCCAATACGTGCCCAACGCTGAACCAAAGGATTAAATTCTTAATTTTTGAAATTGAAGCTTTGATGAGAACATTATGCTTTATGTTTAATTTTAATAGTATTAACATTGTTTTAGCCTGAACTTACCTACCATGTTGTTACAGAAGAGGGTTACTTGTGATCTAGGAGTGAGGCAAGATTGAAGAAAATTGAATGATTTGGGAAAACCTTTGTTTTTATGATTATTTCAGCACATCTGGGAAATGTGAACAAAGATTCTACTGGAATTTCATTTTCTGTAGCTAGTAGTTTTATTTATGTACTCTTAAATAATTATTGAATTTATGAAAACGGAAGGATTATTTCTGTTGAAAAATGTTTCAAATGAAGCAATTCTCAAAAGTATTTTTATAAATTTGGAAGAGCAGCTTGTGATAGAACAGATCTTTGAGCTCCCCAGAGTTGGGATTGTAGTCATAAATTGCTATAACATGTTAAAGAATCCTTTAAACAATTTGGATTTAACACAGTTTTAACCCATCTTTTGACATTTTCCTCACAAATCAACTGCATGGACAAGTGTCCGTCATGTAGAAAACCACTTATGAACTCATTTAGGTAACTAAACTCCACCTTTTGAGCCTACATTAAAATGTGGGTGCAACATTAGATGATATATCTAGAGATGGGGATATCAAAACATTGAGCACATTTAAAGTGAATTAAGAGATACTAGATCTAACTAATACTAAAAAAAAAAAATTCTGAAAGGGAAAAAATATCTAGACATACATACAAAAAAGGAGATAGTTGTCAATGATCATTTGTGAGAACAGAGGAATCTTTACAACTCAAATAACTACAGTAAAGTTGCCAAACAGTCAAATTTTGGTCTTCATTGAGCTAAATTACTCAGTTGTTTGTATTTGAAAAAAAATTTCAGTCAAGAAATTGCACATGAGGTTGCTGTGGTAGATGTCTTGAAATAACAGAAATAGCCAGGGGTAACAAGGGTTGTTCCTTTTATTGAGCTGTGAAATTGCTTGAAATCTAGTCTGTAAGTCATCAGGGAGAATTTAGGTTTATTGGTCTTTTGTATTGGCTGAAATTTGCAAGTATAAGTTAAAAAGATATACTTTAGTATAATACTTTAGTAGTATTTGACGGTGTGCAGGGTTACAAGTTGCCTCTTCTTTCTTTCTTCAGTTGTGTCATGACTATTTCTGAGATAAAAAGTATCTCAGACTGACTATTGGTTTATTAAGGTAATCTTCTACCCTTCGCACTAGCAGTGACACTTTCAGCCTGAACACCTATCTAAGCATCCGATCGTGAATGTGACAGCTGTACCAAATGAGGTCTTGAGCGGTAGAAGGAAAACATTCAGGATTTTGCATCTCAGGTCCTAATGAACATTAAATGATACACTTGGGCTCTTTCACCACAATAATCAGCAAAAATTACAATATGTTCATGTATCCTTTACTCTTTTATAAGTCTGTAGACAAGAGAAAACAAATGAGGCTTTATGAAATATTATGCTTTTTATCAATGTGCATCACACAACGGTAGTAATCACTGCACATAGGTTTGTGTCTTCTACTTTTTAAACAAAATCAATGAAATGCTATTTTGCATAATTTTGAAAGTCAGTGAAACATAGGCTGCTAAGTTGCATTGATGCTTCTAGCCATTGAGCTTTAAATGTTTTCTTAGATGTACAAAGCAATTAATTATACCTATAACAATATACTCATGTATTTCTGTGCAAAACTGATTTTTTTCTTGATTATTTGCTATATGGTTTGCAGCAATAGATTTCTTAATTTTTCTTTTAAATATCAAGTGCACTGACCTTTTTTCATCTGTTGGGATGTATATAGAAAAAATTTTCAATGTTTTCTTCATCCAGCAGAACGTTAACAGTAACAGCATGCAAAATAGATGTGGGAACTCTCCAAACAATTCCTTTCAGAAGGCAGGTTTTTTTGCTGTAGTGCCACAGCAAGAAATCAGAATTCAGTTTGTTTTCTCAGCTGTCACTTTCTTACAAGACTAATAAACCTTGTAATGATTCTTTTTTACATAAGAACAGACTTAGATTTGGGGAAATCATATTTAACTGTAATTCATTATATAACTCATGTTACCTATGCTTTTCTTGTCTTACAAATACCTTCTGAAAACTCACTAACTTACTTTGCAAGAAACCACTAATAGTAGTCAGAGAGTAAAACAGATGAAAATTGAAATTCTTTTTTAAAAAATCATCTAGATTATGAATATTTTAAAATATATAATTAGATCTGTCCTAAGTAGATTTTTTGGTTGTTCAAAATGTTTGTTTCCCTCTTACAGTTGCAGTAAGAGTATGTTTCTGATGGGATACTCCTTCCAACTTCATAGAAGGTAGCTTGTTAGCCCATGGTAGAACAGCTCCTCATCATATGTATATATTCTCTATTACATTTAAAATAATCTTTCTCCCCCATCCTTTCCTTTTTTATACTCACATCACATTTTATTTCAGTTTGTAATTCCAGGCTGGGGACTACACCTTGCCTCATTTCACACTGTTCCCAAGCCTACACATGCTCTTCCTGAAGAATGAAAAAAGTACCAAGAACGAATAGCAAAACACTTGACATGGATAATAACCTTCATAGCTAAAAAACAAATTACTTCACAAGCAGAGAAGCAAAGTGTGTCCATATACAGAATTGTGTCTCCCAGATTTTCCCATTCCAATAATTGCTTCTCCCTTTTCTCAGAACAACTTGTTACCAGACTTTTACACACCTCCTCTTGCCATGACTCCTTGCTGTCTCCTTTTTGGATGAGTAAGTGTCAGTGTGTTATGTGACTGGTTTGAATTAATGAATTTGTTGGCCAACTTGTGCATGTGGCTGCTGCCTCTTTCACATGATGACAACAGACTCAGTCTTGAGGGCGGTATTACTTGGAGTTTCTCTTGAACCCACCTGCCAATTTGCATAAGATAGGAAAAACTTAGTAACTTACTTTCAATGAGAATTGTTTATTTAGCTATCAAGAAGATGAGAGAGTATAACGTCATAAACCTTACTTCTTTAGGAGGACAGGCTAAGAAGAATCCTCCTCTGAGGAGGAATTTTTTGTTTTGTCAATCAAGAGTAAATTAGTAACAACAGCTTTATTTTTGTTTTGTTTTGTTTTGTTTTCATTTTAGATCACTTTAACATGAAAGTCTGTTGCAGAAGGAAGGAGCTGAAGAGGGAATTGGAGGCCCTCAAGGTACCTGACCAAGTATTAAACTAAATGTCTTTGTTGTGCAAATTAGACTGCCAAAACTTTGTATTGCAGTTGCTAGATTCATTACTGTCAGTTATTAGCACTGTAAATAATTTTGGCTGGTATCAATGACAATGAGCTATAGTGATGCTTCAAACGCTTATGCCATCCAACAACAGCATTGCTTTTGCAGGAGTAACCTAACAAAGAACCCCTCTGATGCCGAGTCAAGCAACCTGTGTGCTGTAGTCACAGCAGTGGTGTCATCTGACTTGACACAATGTATTTTACCTTTTTAATCTGTAACATTTTAGCTTTAACTTCAGACTAACTAAAAGTAAAGTAAGTAATTGGTCAGTGATATATTCCTCAGTGTATCAGTATGACTATTAAAATCTATATGGCTTAGTATCCACATCAAAACTGAGGTAATCATGAAAACAAGCAGCCACATTTAGTAGAGTTCTAAATGCAATATGATAGTACATAAGAGATTTCACAAGTTAACCTAGCTTTCATGCTGGACCACATGATTTAATAAGTACACATAGACTTTCAGTTTTTAAAATTGGCCTATTTGAAATTTAATACTAACAATAAATCATGCTTCCAGCCATGAAGAGGGTGAAGCAACAATATCCAAGTGCTTAAAATACATTCTTCAACACTACAAATACTGTTCATTATTTTAAAAATGCTGAAAATATACTTTAGATTATACTTTCTAATAATGCTCTGTTTTCCTACAGTTTTTACTTTCCAAATAAACACATGACTCAGTAAGAGATGATTTTTTCCCCCATTATTATACATTTGAATCACAAACAGCTTCAGAATTAGATGAGAAATCAAAGTTAATGTATTTTGTCTTTACTCTTCAATAAGTAAAACTCAATTGTAAATTTTTACAGATTTTTTCACTAGCTATAGATACAATTATGCTAAGGCATAGGACAAGTACCAAAGTAATAAAAAACAGGAATTGGTCATATTCTACTTTAAATAGACAGATTCCATAAAGCTTCATTAAACTGAGATGCCTTTCTGTGAAATCAGAAATAAGCTCCATATTCCAAGTAAAGGGACCAAAATATGGTCATAACAGCAAAACCTGTCAAATGCAACTCATCCTAACTGGAGATCTAAGGTACCATAATGGACCCCTTACTCTGTGATGTACACTCTTTAAATTATATAAAGTGACTCATGTTCCAAAATATTGCATTTAATAATCTTTACTATTAAAAAAACTACTTTTACTTTAAAATTATTTTAGTTTTATTTTTAAAAATAATTTCTCTTCCAACACTCAACCATCAAGATGTATGTATTCAGTATTCCAGAATTTTCTGAAGTATTTTTTTAATTAACTTTGGGACTCAATAATTTACTGATCAGTGTATCATCACCTTTCCCAGATTTTAGATTAACAGCTCTGTTTATCAGTCTTAATATTGCTTCCAAACACAATAAAAACTCCTGTGGCCTATCCAGATAATTACACCTTTAATCATTCTGCTGCCAAAATAATTTGAGTGAACTCTAACAATTACTTGTTAGACTGAAGACACAAACAAGTAAATACAAATTTTCATAAGCAAAAATAAGGATTTTTTATTTTAATTAGTCTGTCTTCTTATACTACACATAACCACAAAACAAAACCAGGCAGCTGATTACCTATTATATTTACTCTCTTTTGAAAAGTATTTAGTGGTAATTTTGGTATTATGTGACTGGTAGAATCTAGTTCTTGTGCCTCAAATGATATAAATGAAGTCAAAAGCTATCAGGCATCTTATTCCCACTTTTCTCTTTTCCACCAGCAGCAATACTGAGCTTTTCTCAAACCACAATCTGACAAAACTTTAATTTACCCTACTCCTGCAGGCACTTGCCTGACTGCCTGAGTCAGCACCATTTTAGTTCCTACAGTTTCTCCCTAATCAGATTTTCATTCACAGGCTGCTTACTTTCCTTGCAGTGAGTCAGAGGGGCACCAGCACCTCCACATAGTCATTTAAAAAGGACTGTAGCTGCTGGGGCAGGACACACAGGAGGAGGCTAATGCAGAGGGAACATTGCTGAGGTCAGGACTTGAGATGCACTCTTGGAAGAAGGCACTTTATGCAGGAGGGAAAATGTACCCCTTGAGGGCTGAAGCTCAGAGGATAACCAGCCCTAGGCAGCGGCACCCAGAGAAATGGACTGTGACCTATGGAGGATCCATGCTGGAGCAGGAACAACTCATGGGCCACACTCAACATGGAACAGAAAAAAAACAAGTGAGAGGGAAGGAGCAGTGGAAGACAAGAGCAAGGAGCAAGGAGTAGCAGGAAGAAGCCACAACATGCTGACCCCAACCTCCTCCATTCCCTCACTGCATGACTGGAGAGTAGTACACAGTGAAAGAAAGGGACAAGAAAGGGGTGGAGACATGTTGCACTGAAGTTGAGTCTAGGGAAGGAACAGAAAGTTTGTTTTCCGAAGAAGTTTTGGGGGTTGTTTCCTGTTGTGGAGTTTTTTTAACCGTTTGCCTTTTTTTTTTTTTTTTTTTTTTTTTTTTTTTGATATCTGACTCAGCAATCAGAAGTTAATTAATTGGGAATTAAAGAAATTCAGTTAAATTCTCCAAGTCAAGAATGTTTTGTCCACAACAATATTTTAAGAAACTTAGGACATCTTCCAACCTCAGTGAACAGTCAGAAGCTCCCCTATTTATGAATTGGAGACTGAAGATTATATTTAGCTATTTAGCCTGCATTAATGTGTTCATATCTCAGAACTTATTTCAAGTTTCCTGGCTGTCCATGTTTGCTTCATGAAATTGCACATAAATTCTTCATGGACACTCCATATCCTTCATCTGTCTCCTTACGGCAGCCTCTTATTCCTTCCTCCCTCCACCTTAAAACAGTGTGTTCCTCAGGGGAAAAAACAACCAAGATTTCTTTTTTATATTTACACATACTATCTTGTATAAAACTTTCTAGACCCCCAGTTCAGCCCAGAAAACTCCCTTCATGTGAAAGGTGACAGGATTAATCATTGGAACTTAAAATATAGTAAGTCTATGTTAAAAAGGACTTACTAACCACAAAGAGTTTTATAAAGATTCAGAGTTACAGTCATCCTTACTGGATTCCCACAGATGCTAGTGAGTACCAGCCACTCACAGTTAATCATTATTGCTATGCATACACTTTATAAACTAAAATAGAGTTGCCAGAAACACAATATTTCATAATTAGGGTTGAAAGAATTAGGAAACTCAGAGGGTGGTGATCAATGGGTTTTACTCAGTCTGGCAGCATGTGAAATGTGGGGTCTCTCGGTGATCGACACTGGGACCCACGTTGTTCAAGATCTTCATAAACGATCTATGCAATGGGATTGAAAACACTCTCATGATGTTTGCTGGCGACACGCAAGCGGGTGGTAAGGTCAGCACGTCAGAAGGGAGAATCATCTTACAGAGAGACCTGGACAGGCTGGAAGAGTGGGCCAGCAAGGCACTATGAATTATTTAACAAAGACAACGGCAAAGTCCTGTGCCTGGAAGAGAATAACCAAAGAACCCAGGACAGACTGGGATCTGAGTGGCTGGGGAGCAGCCTTGCTGAGAGAGACCTAGGGATCCTGATGGACAACAAGCTAGACACGAGTCAGCTGTGCACTGCTGCAGCAACAAAGGCAAACTGGATGCTGGGCTGCATCTGCAGGGTCATTGCTAGCAGAGGTGGGGTTGTGATCATCCCACTCTACTCAGCGCTTGTCAGGCTGCACCTGGAGTACCGTGTCCAGTTCCAAAAAGATGCAGACAGACTAGAAAGGGTCTAAAGGAGGCCACAAAGATGACTGAAGGGTTGGAGCTTTTCAAGGTATGATTGTACTGGATGATATATACTCTCATCTAGGCTCCTTTTTCCACAGAAGGTTGGACCAGGAGATCTTCTGAGGTCCCTTCCAACTTGTGCTATGAAAACTCCTAAAATGGTTTCACAGACTGATGAGCTGTATCAGAAAAACAGATGATGCTGCTCTTTCAGGTAGCAGATCTGTAGTTGTCAGTCTTCCTGAATGATAAATATGAGTGATTCCCAAGCTAACTTTGATACAACTTGACATAGATTAGTGCAAAGCACCTGAAGACCCACATTCTTCTTGATCCGGGAGTCTTTTACATGTCACAGTAATGTTCACTTAAGAGAAAATATCCTTCAATTTACTATTTTATATTTTACTACTTATGACCCAATTTTTTCAGTGCCATGTAATCAGCTATCCTGTGGATGCATTTTGTCTTTGTTTACTGATATCTCTTTTGCCATTACACTGCAAATCCATGAGCAACATCAAAGCAAATACTTCAATTCTGTGTATCTTAAGGATTCACATGACAATATAAAGATGCAGAATATGCAGATCTGAAAAATTTTTGGCTCTCTTACTCTACCAGATGGACACAGAGTAGATAAAGGACCAATATGGTCTCTATTTTTTAACATTCTTTATTGATAGAAACTGAAAAGCTATTTAAGAATAATTCAGTGTCATAAATAAAACCATGAACACTTAACTGATGTAAACAAAAAAGAATGAAGATCAGTCAGCATTTTTAACCTGAGTTTTAGAAATTAAAATGTAAACACAGAAAACCTGTCATTAAAAACTCTTTTCAAGGTAATCAACATTGACTTAGGATCTCCTAGAGTTTCAATGTTTACTTTTCATTACAAGTATTGTATAGTCATTCCTTGAGCTTGGTCAGGTTGGTTTGGGTATTTCTGCTTGTTACATTCAGATGATGTTGTCAGTCTTTTCCAAACCATAAGATTTATTTCCATTACTGATATTTTGCTAGGCACAAAGCCTAGTACTTGCTGTTATTTGAAGTAAAACATGCAATTCAGCATGACAATATCATAGAAAATACGAATTCAAGACAATTTCTGTAAAGTATTTGAAAACAATAATAATAAACTCCTAAGCTTTCTAAATAG